CGACCCCCCCGCACTGTCTGCTCCGCCATGGCACGGCCCCCCTGAACTGTCTGCTCCACCTCTAGAGCGCCCACCCCCCCTGTCCGTTGGAAGTTATGAGGCACGTGGACACGCCTTCCGGGAGGGGGAGGTAATGTCATGCCCTTGGACTGCCCCTGTGTTCCGTGTCTTGTGTTTTGCTCCCCATATACTCCCCATGACTGAGTTTCTCCCGTGTTTGATTATATCCAATTGATTCCAGGTGTTCCCCATTTAGTTCCTGTATTTAAGCCCTGTGTTTTCCTGAGTCCTGCGTCCAGTCTTAAACGTCAATTCCCTGTGCTACGTGTGTGTTCCTTGCTGTGAGTCTTTATTTGATTTAATAAAGATTGTTCTTTGTGATATCCTCCGTCGTCTCTGCGCTCCTCGTTCCTACACAGTAGGCACATCGTGACATTTACAGATATTCACATAGAAAACAGATATGTAAATTGTAATAATATTTCACAGTTTTTACTGGATTTTTGATCAAATAAATGCAGCCTTGGTGAACATTTAAAAATCTTACCAACTCCAAACTTGTGAAGCCTGTCCTCTATGTGACTCCTGGACTATTGGTGCAGATTTAATGAGAGACAGAGACTGGCTTGTATATGACACTGTGAGTGACACAATGACCTGTGCTGTTTGTCACTAATACACCAGGACAGACACTTAAATAATTCCATAAAGAGGCAAATAAACACAGGAAGTGCTTTTAATACAAAGTTTCAGACATTGTTCAGATTAGTAGAACAGGGAGGGATTGAGGAACAGTGAAAGCAAAGTTTATTTATTTATTTATTTCTGGTACTACTAGTAGTAGGAGGATGCAGTCAAATGTTGATGCAAGAGATGAGTTTTCAGCTGTCGCTTAAATATTGTCAAGGATTCGGCATTCTGGATTGTGCTTGGAAGATCATTCCACCAGTATTCTTCTTTAGTTAAGTATTCTATTACAAAAACCTCAAAAGTTTAAAATGATTCAGTCATTACTACAGAGTTATCATGATCTTCACTTTAGAATATTGTTCCAAATAATTGGTAATCCCTTCTAAAGGATTTGATAATACACTTGAGTCATTACTGGTTGGTTACCATGACCTTCACTTTAGAATTAATGATAAATACTCTACACATACTTATTAATTTAGAATTAATGATGCATACTGCTACACAGATAGGTTCATATTAATTATGAATGTTTATATACAGTAGTTCTTAGTAGTTCTGTGGGAGGTATGAAAAAATATTAGTGATTAGCTAATAGTGAACTACCACATTGGACTAAGCACTATAAATGACTAATTCATTAATCAGAGATTCTTGTTACTTAATATTAGTTACTAAAGTCTTAATATTGCATTACTCATTTGTTCCTGTGTGAATATTCATTTTAATGATGGAACAGTTTTTTAAAGTGTTACTGGTTTATGAGCCTGAAGACAGAGTGTTCAAGTAATTTCATAGTTACATCTTTTTTGTAAGTCGCTTTGGATAAAAGCGTCTGCTAAATGACTAAATGTAAACTTAAATGTAGATTTCTGAAGATCATGTGACACTGAAGACTGGAGTAATGATGCTGAAAATTCAGCTTTGATCACAGAAATAATTTGATCAGGAGTAAATTACCCTCCTCCATCCCCAACTCCTCCTTTCACCACAGTCAGGACTTGGCTTTCTGATATTCTTGTTGAATCAGACTCCTTTTATCTTGAATAATGTTGTTACACTAAAATATCAATAAGAGCATTAATGATATCTCCATTTTGTTCTGTTCTGTTTATTCTAAGGGGGTTATTGCTGCTCTCCGTGCTCATTCATGACAGGGAGTTTTTGCGCAGAACAGAACCATACCGCCAATCTAAACTGTATGCTAAGTGTCAAACATTTTGATGATAGTGGTCCTGACAGAACTTCATTTAACTTTTTTTTTTTTTTTGCAAGTTTATGACAGCCTAATAAAAACATTGTAGTGGTTTCTTAATTGTAAGAATACACTTCTAACTGATATATGGGTAACATACATATGAAAGTAAACAGCATTGAAATGTACAATCCATCCAAAAATGAAAATTCACTGTTTATTTACTCACCCTCAGGCCATCAAAGATGTAGGTGACATTCAGTTGAACAGTAAAGAAGGTTTTTAGCTCTTTGGTGAGTCATAAAATGCAAGTCAATGGCTAAAGGCACTTTGAGAGTCAAAAAAGCAAATCAGGCAACACAAAATCAATTCCTGTGACTTCTGACAATATATTGAGGTCTTATGAAGCGAAACGACTGGCCTGTGCAAGAAACTGAACATTTTGGTGACATTGCCACAGTTCTTCTGGATTTAGTGTATATTTATATGAAACATAGATTTGTTAAAACTAGGGTATTTAAGTCATTTTAAGATAAATAACATTCTGTGCTAACAAATTCAAGAAATGAGGTGGTTGTTTTCAACAAGGTGGACACAGTTCTGTTCATAACAGTAGACCTGCTAGTGAAGTTATTGGGGAAAATGAAGAAAAGGGAAGTGAAATGGTGCAGTTCAAGAGAGAACCTTTAAATATTTTCCACGGCCCCAGACTAAGGATTTAGACCTTTTTATGTGATGGCCATACAAATAACAGGGTTGTCGTGGTTTCAGAAATTTTTGTGGATATATAGGCTAAATACAAAAAAAGTGCCCAAAATCGCACCTTTTGGGGTACAACATCTTGTCACTGGAACAGTACCCTTAAAAGGAAATCTTTGTACCTTTTTTACCCCTAATAGGTACATATTAGTACCTTAAGAGTAGTAATTCGTACCCTTAAGGTATTAGCCTACCTACCCCAAAAGTACCCCAAAAGGTGCGATTTTGGCCCCTTTTTTTCTGTGTGGCCTGGATGAGTGTAAGATTTCCCGGCCTGAAATTACGTCCCAGTCCGGCCCTGATTGAAAGGTTCGGATCCCCAATATGAGCCAGATGCTGAATGTACCTGAATGTAAGTGATGATGGCAGTGAAGCAGTTGCTCAAAACACACTTCCAATTTCCAACAGACAATAACACGCTTTATTTTATTACTTTAGAATTGTTATTAAAATATCAGAACAGTTGTATACTATTGGATCAG